GGAACGCCCGTGGGGAGCGTGCTCCCAGGTCTGGAACGCCCGTGGGGAGCGTGCTCCCAGGTCTGGAACGCCCGTGGGGAGCGTGCTCCCAGGTCAGGAACGCCCGTGGGGAGCGTGCTCCGAGGTCTGGAACGTCCGTGGGGAGCGTGCTCCCAGGTCTGGAATGCGCGTGGGGAGCGTGCTCCCAGGTCTGGAACGCCTGTGGGGAGTGTGGGTGTGTTTCCTGAGCCCATCCTGCCACAGGTCAGGAGGCTGCATTCAACGTGACTTTCCGGCGGGCGGAGGGCTACCCCATCGACCTGTACTACCTCATGGACCTCTCCTACTCCATGCTGGACGACCTCATCAACGTCAAGAAGCTGGGGGGTGACCTGCTGCGCGCGCTGAACGAGATCACCAAGTCTGGCCGTGTGGGTGAGACCCCACTTTCGTGGTTGGCTCAGCTCTGTCCCTGCCCCCATCCGCCCCGCCCCCACCCCCACCACCCTGGGCAGTTTGCACTCCACACACCTCCAACACACAGAGGAGCCCAGACCAGCATCCTCTGGGGTGGCCGTGGGGCCAGGGAGGGGCCTGCCTCTCCACTAGGCCAGACCTGGTCCCTGAACCCCCTCAAGTGCGCATCATTTAGCCCTATTTCTCTTCTTGTGTCTGATATGCTCTGCCTCATTCTCTGTGTACAGCGAGGCATACACACATATTGGACCTTGTGATTCACAATCTCACCTGTGGGTGTGTGTGCATGCGGTGCTCTCACAGTCACATGTAGCTGACTGCATTCTGGGCACACATGTGTGCACATGTGGCTATGATCACATGTTCAGAGGCATGAGTGCACGCACACGTGTCACACATTCATGTCCACCCAGGTACATGGTCACACTCAGTCCCTTGTGCATACCCAGGAACATGTGTGTAGAGTTCACACACCTATGCCCACATGTACAGACATACATGTGCACACAGTCACATTCACGTGTGTAGACCATGTATCTGGATTCATGTGCTACATTGATATGCCACACCTATACTCACGTTACACACACACACTCATGCTCAGAGGTGTGCATGACTTGCACATGTGCACACACATGTTCCTCGGGGGCCTGGTGTGCTTTCTCCCTGTCCTCTGATGATAACAAGGTCACACTCCCTCAAGGCTGGCTGCTTGCCTGTGTCCCCTCCTGTTCCCTGTCCTCCTCAGCCAGTGCCATGTGTCCTCAGGCTTTGGGTCCTTCGTGGATAAGACGGTGCTGCCGTTTGTCAACACACACCCTGAGAAGCTGAAGAACCCGTGTCCCAACAAGGAGAAGGGGTGCCAGGCCCCGTTTGCCTTCCGGCACGTGCTGAAGCTCACCGACAACTCCAACCAGTTCCAGACGGAGGTTGGGAAGCAGCTGATTTCTGGAAACCTGGACGCCCCCGAGGGTGGGCTGGATGCCATGATGCAAGTGGCCGCCTGCCCGGTGAGTGCCCGGCCTGCCTGGGTCCTGCAGGCCCACCAGGGGCTGCGGGCCTCGGGCCCTGGCACCACAGGCTGGTGGGCTCAGGGACTGGCTCTGCCTACTGGGTCCTGACCTTACCTGCTAGTGGGGCCCCAAGAGGACAGCACCTGCCTTGGGCTGCCGCCCTCCCCCAGCCTCCAGGCCGCAGAGCCAGGGACATGAGGCGCAAGGTTTCATGGCTAACTGGTGACCCCTATGCTCTTCTGAAGTCTAATGTCTTCTACAAAAGGTCCTTGGGAGCCAAAACTGATTTCTCTCCTTCCTCACCAGCCAAGAGGGTGGGGGCTCTGCCAAGCTGTGTCCTCACCATGTCCCGTGTCCTCACCATGTCCCATGTCCTCACCATGTCCCGTGTCCTCATCCACGTCCCATGTCCTCACCATGTCCCATGTCCTCACCACGTCCCGTGTCCTCACCATGTCCCGTGTCCTCACCATGTCCCGTGTCCTCACCATGTCCCGTGTCCTCACCCACATCCTGTGTCCTCACCACGTCCCGTGTCCTCACCATGTCCCGTGTCCTCACCATGTCCTGTGTCCTCACCACGTCCAGTGTCCTCACCATGTCCCGTGTCCTCACCATGTCCCGTGTCCTCATCCACGTCCCGTGTCCTCACCCATGTCCTGTATCTTCACCATGTCCCATGTCCTCACCATGTCCCGTGTCCTCACCACGTCCCGTGTCCTCACCACGTCCCATGTCCTCACCATATCCCGTGTCCTCACCATGTCCCGTGTCCTCACCATGTTCCGTGTCCTCATCCACGTCTCGTGTCCTCACCATGTCCTGTGTCCTCACCATGTCCCGTGTCCTCACCATATCCCGTGTCCTCACCATGTCCCGTGTCCTCATCCACATCCCGTGTCCTCACCATGTCCCGTGTCCTCACCACGTCCCGTGTCCTCACCACGTCCCGTGTCCTCACCATATCCCATGTCCTCACCATGTCCCGTGTTCTCACCATGTCCTGTGTCTTCACCATGTTCCGTGTCCTCACCCACATCCCGTGTCCTCACCCACATCCCGTGTCCTCACCATGTCCCGTGTCCTCACCCACATCCCGTGTCCTCACCATGTCCCGTGTCCTCATCCACGTCCCGTGTCCTCACCCACGTCCCGTGTCCTCACCCACGTCCCGTGTCCTCATCCATGTCCCGTGTCCTTGCGACGTCCTGTCTACTCACCCATGTCCTGTCCACACCTGTTGCAGGCTGTCTTTGTAACTAACGTTGATGTGACTATGGCGTCCTGACACGCACAGCCTGGTGCAGCCACGCTGGGGTCTGGGGCACTTGGTGCTCGTGCATGTTCTAGATGAGTCTTCCATGCTGTGAGGTCATGAATGCGTGTGAGACCTACATCGTGCACATGGGCCCCTCCAGGGACACTCCAGCCACTCCTGTGGACATCCCTCGGGCTCTTCCTTTCACTTGGAGTTTTCCACACTGTGGTGGATGTTTCTACACTGTGGTGGATGGTTGTCAACTGTGGTGATGTTTCTATACTGTAATGGATGTTTCTGCGTACGTTTCTTCTCTTTTGGGGTCTGTTTCTGGCTAATCAGGTGGCTAATCCAGGCTTTCTTTTAGACTGCGACCTATGTTCCAGCGCCTGCCTCCCACGGAGCAGGCCTGGGGGCGTCAGCTTGGGCACGTCGCCTGCTCTGGCCTGTCCCTTTCTTCCTGTTCTCCTAGCTGTGAGAACGCAGGAGGGGCCACTGCTGCCCGGCCCAGCTACCAGAGGGTCCAGTGGGAAGCCAAGGCTGGCAACACCCGACCTTCTTCCTCCAGGAGGAAATTGGCTGGCGCAATGTCACGCGGCTGCTGGTGTATGCCACAGATGATGGCTTCCACTTTGCGGGCGACGGGAAGCTGGGCGCCATCCTGACCCCTAATGACGGCCGCTGCCACCTGGAGAACAACATGTACAAAAGAAGCAATGAATTCGTGAGTGCCCTCCTGGCCCCCACCTCGAGGGTCCCTGGGGTGGGTTAGGAGCCCCTGGGGCTCTTAGGGCCCACTGGGGAGAAGCAGGGGGCAGCGGAAGAGCAACCTCTGCACACGGTCTTGTTCGGGTCACCTTGTCAGAGCCTGGACACCTCCTTCCAACCCAAGAAACTTCCAGAAGCCCTGAGTGTGCCCAGTGAGGTCCTGGGGACCTCATGGCAGGCTAGGAGAGGACAGTGGGTGGCTGAGGCATCTCTGGCCCCGGACTCCATGCAGGGATCCTGCCTTTGCAGCCTAGGAGAGGACAGTGGGTGGCTGAGGCATCTCTGGCCCCGGACTCCATGCAGGGATCCTGCCTTTGCAGCCTCCTCCTCAGGCTGCCCCAGCTTCTGTCCCGGGGCCTGTAACATCGGTGCAGGAACCTTCGCCCACAGTCCTCCTGGACTCCATCCAGCCCTCACTAGAGGAGACGGGCCAGGGCTGAGGCCATCCCTGGAAGGAATGCAAAGCTGCTACAACTCGGGCTCCCCACCAGCATCCCGCAGCTGAGCAGTGTTGAGGGGAGAACTGGAGATACAAGACATAGACAGAGAGTGTGGCACCTGATATCCAAGAGGCTCTGCCTCTTGAGCATCTCCCAGAGATGTAGACATCACTTTGGCCAGGGTAGTATCAGAGTGCTACCCTGGGGAGACCAGATGTATGCCCCATATCCCCAGCATGGGACCATCAAAACGCTGCTCTCAAGCCTGTATGTCTGTGGCTCACACCTGTCATCCTAGCTACTCAGGAGGCTGAGATCTGAAGATTGTGGTTTAAGGCCAGCCCAGGCAGGAAAGTCTGTGAGACTCTTATCTGCAATGAACTACCAAGAGCTGTGGCTTAAGTGTTAGGGCACTAGGCTTGTGCAAAAAATAAAGGGACAGCACCCAGGCCCTGAGTTCAAGCCCTAGGATAGTGCATGCATGCATGCAAGCACGCATGCGTGTGTGTGTGTGCGCGCACGCACACACACACACACACACAGCTCTCACTTTAGCTGGCTTTAAATCAAGAGTGGTTATTCATGCTCCATTCTATATCAAGTGTTGATACAGAAAATTGTAACTGTGTTTTGATGGAGCCAGTTTCCTGCACAACTTACAAACCTTATTCAGAGAAGAGGCCACCATAATACCAGATGGGCAGGCCTGAATTGCCAGCAGCTGGTGCAGGGGTCTTGGACACTGGCTTTCTTAAACAAGGTGACCTGGAAGGCTTGCTCTCTGCCCCAGGCACCATCTGACAGGTGTCTCTCCAGGACTACCCATCGGTGGGCCAGCTGGCACACAAACTGGCAGAAAACAACATCCAGCCCATCTTTGCAGTGACCAAGAGGATGGTAAAAACCTATGAGGTGAGTGGGGTGGGGTCTTGGGCAATGCGGGGTAGGTGGGGGAGGGCGGACCACGTCACTGTGGGATGACAAAACCCAGCCTGCTGGGGCGTCGCCTCATTCTGCTTCCTGTGTTGGTGTGTGGCCCCCTGGCCTTGGCCACGCTGTTGTGGGTGGGATGGTGGTTTGGGAGGTGTGGGGAGCTCTTTGTGGCATGGTGTTCATGCGTGGTGTCCAGCAAATGTTTCTCCTGACGTGAAGTTTTGTCATAATCATGGCATAGGTCTTGCTGGTGGTGTTCCTGTTTTTTTTTTTTTTTTTACTGGAATGTGGCAATTCTGCAGATCTGATTTGTTAATTTGGGGAAACTTCCTTGTTTTCTGCTCATATGCATTTGAATGGCGACATTTCACACAGAGTCAGACATAGCGGAGGAGCCCACACATCCGGGGCGCAGTGGGGGTGGATTTCATATAGGGGATCTAGCTGGGTGACCAGAGCCGGGTCCTGCTGTAGCCACCCAGGGGGGCCTGGACAGGGCCTACCACTCACGCCTCTTCTTCTGATGGTTGGTTGGAGCAAGTGTCCCCGAAAGACCCTGGAAGGCGGGAGCTGAGACATGACCAACTGTGGAGGGCATCGCTCTGAGACCACCTGTCACTTTGCTTTGAAGCAGCCAGACATCTTGCCTGGGGAAGGACGCAGCCCTCATCTGTACCCTATGTTTTGGGTTTAGACAGTGCAGTTAGAGCCAGGCGCTGGTGGCTCACGCCTGTCATCCTAGCTACTCAGGAGGCTGAGATCTGAGGATCGAGGTTCAAAGCTAGCCCGGGCAGGAAAGTCCATGAGACTCTTATCTCCAATAAACCACTAGAAAACTGGAAGTAGCACTGTGGCTCAAGAGGTAGAAAGCTCATCTTGAGTTGAAGAGCTGAGGGATAGCGCCCAGGCCCAGAGTTCAAGCCCCACGACCAACAGAAAGAGAGAAAGAAAGAAAGAGAGAGAGAGAGAAAGAGGGAGAGAGGAAGAAAGGAAGGAAAGAAAGAAGGAGCGCGCAGTTGGAGCTGGATCTGATTTCCCCAAGCTCCCCACTCTGGCGCTGATCTCAACTCTGCTGATGTGGGCGCCCAGGCCTCAGGATGAGCCCAGGCCTCAGGACGCAGGCAGCGTCTGCTGCTTGCTGAGGGGTGCCCCACCGTTCCCAGCCCACATGGCAGGGGTTCTGCCTCTGTCCACGTGCCTTTGAAGAGGGAAGTGACTGGGTCCAGTGGTGTCAGGACACAAGCAGCAGCAGCAGGAGGGACATTTCCTGTGTCTGTGGTGACTTCCCGTAGGCCTCACCACCCTGTCTCTGTCAGAGCAGCTGGGCAGACTTGGGCTGTGCCAAGTGCTGCCCAGTGCCTTGTCCCACAGTGCTGCTGCTGTCCCCAGGGGACACACTGATGCACCCAGGGAGCTCCGGTGTGGTCAGGGCTTCTTGACCCTCTCCTGTCCGGTGGTTCACTGGTCATGCCACAGGACCCAACAAAACCATAGATTCACAGGTACATTTATTAGTGTGGGATTCAGATTAAAAGCAGCAAAGAGGAAAAAACAGTTTGGGTGGAGTCCAGAGACTAGGCACAGACTTGCAGCTGTCTCCCGAGGAGCATGGATGGCTCTGGGCGCGGTGTGTGGAGCCCGGCGTGGAGCCGTGCTTCCGCAGTCACGTGCTGGAACATCAACGTCCAGCCATGCAGATGTGGCCAGCTACCTTTGAGGTTGACCTTGGCCTCCAGCCCCCCCCCAATCCCGTGCCTGCCCGCCCCGTCGCACTGCTGAGCTCCTGGAGTGGTCCCTGCCGGGGTTCATCGTCCTTGGGAAGGTGTAAGATGTGGATAGCCCATGCCTGTGGATTCACAGTGCAACAGGGGTTTGCAGAAAGGGGGAGATTCTGTGCCTTCTTCCCTAAGAAGCCTCCTCCAGTGGCGGTGGCCTGAGAGGCGAGGGAGGCAGAGTGAGGTGTATATGTTGGACAAGGGATGGTTGTGGTCGTGATTGTTTATAGATCTGTGTCAGGTTCTTCAGAGCCAGCGGGGTCCTGGACAGAAATCCCAGACCCCAGCTCTATTGCAGCCAAACTACCTGGGCCAGTTCTCAGCAGGCCTCCTTTTCCTGCCTCTACAAGGAGCAGTGCTGCCGCTTGGGAGGGCAGTCCGAGTGTCCCTGCGCCAGTGTGCTCAGTGACTGCCAAGAGTGGCTGCCCATGGCTGAATTCTCACATAGACACTGCCTGCTTCTGTTGTTACTACCATCCTCGTCAACGCGAAGCGCAAAGCCCCAATCCACCTCTCTCCTGTGCATGGATGGCCCGGGGCATGGCTCCTGCGGCTTCGGACTGAGAGGCTGAGCTCAGGCTGGGGAGGGCATGCAGAGTGCCAGGTGATTGCCTCTGTGGAATGGGCATTGCTGAGCCTCAGACCGGGAAGTCAGGTTCATATCCAGGATAGCCATCATAGCCTTGCTGTGCACAGGGCCGGAAGGAAGGCCAGCATTCCTGCGGCCGGATCCTGGGATCCAGAGAAGGGCAAGAGCCTCAGAGGCAGAGGAGGAGGGCAGGTGTCTGGGTGAGCAGTGAGAGCTGGTCATACTGCCAGCACAGCGGGTCAGCTCGGCCCAGGGCTGATGGACAGGACGGAATAGGAGGAGGGACTTCCCAGCAGTCAGGACATGGCGGCCCCCACACCGTCCTCTGTGGTGAGGCCGTGGCGTCCCTCCTCAGGTGTCACAGCGGGTCCTGATCTTGGCTGCTGCCGCAGGAGCCATGGCCAGTCCCCCAGGCTGCCCCCTCCCCAGGGCCACAGGCTGTCGTGCAGTTCTGCTGCTGGTAATTGGCCAAGGCAGCAGGGAGCAGCCTGGACAGTACGGTCACGCTGTCCACAGCTACTGGCCTGGGCAGAGAGCAGGTTCCACAGGCAGAAGCTTCCCAGAGCTAGGGCTGCCTCTCACACTGAGCCTGGAGGAGGTGACAACCAGGCTGTATGGAGTCATGACTCCTTAGAGGGGACTGGACTCCGTTCTTTGGAGTCACCGTCGGCCAGAAGCAGCCCTGCCACGAGTCCTGTGTCCTTAGAGGGGAAGTGTTTCTTTTCATGAGACACACAGACAATGCGGGTGTGGGAGGGGCTGGCTTGTCTGTAATGGGGGGGCCCTCTGGCCAGTCTACCCCTGGGGGCACTTCTGGGCAGCATGGCTGTCTGCTATGGCTGACCATTGCAGGAGTAATACAGCACGGTCACTGTTAAAATGCAGTCACTCAAGCCCTTGAAACGCACAGGACTCACCACTTCCCAGAGATTTTGCCTCATTTTATGGATAACCCTTGGGTTATTTCTGCCCACCACACTGGTGTGGTGGAAATGCTGTCCCCTGGTGAACCAGGCAAGGGTCCCAATTAGGGACATGGCCAGTTCAGCAGTGACCCCGGGAGCATTCACACCAAACACCCGGGCTGTTTCGTTCCTGAGAGCCAGTTGTTGAAATCCCGCCAGTAACCAGGTGCTCGGCAGTGGTGGTCTCACCTGAGGGTGGCCGAGCCGCCTCATAGGCACCAGAGGCCCCTGGACATGACAAGCCCCCGCCCAGGAGGACTCTGGTACTAGCTGCACCCACCTGTCCCTCTCACCGACAGAAACTCACCGAGATCATCCCCAAGTCAGCTGTCGGGGAGCTGTCTGATGACTCCAGCAATGTGGTACAGCTCATCAAAAATGCCTATAATGTGAGTCGCTGGCAGGGTGCGGTGCAGGTGGGGGGCTGGGCTGGGCCCCAGAAGCAGCCCCCCTGTCCCCTGCTGGCCAGCAGAAGGATGGGGAGAAAGGGAGCCCTGTCTCATTGGACCCCTCAGCCTGTGGCCACTCACAAAAAACAGATCTGTGTCCTCTCATCGATGGTATGGGGGTGCCACCCAGTCTCCCCCCCACTCCTCCCTCGGGGCTCTGCCCGCTGGTCACCCTGGAGAAGGGGGGCAGATGTTTTCCCTATGGGGGAGGCCCCGGAATCCCTGCAAAGATGCCCATGGGGTGGGGCACCCCTTTTGCCAGCATCCCTACACTGTCCTGCACTAGCCCTGCAGGGTCACTCCTCCTCCCCCTCCTCCTCCTCTTTCCCCCCTCCTCCTCCTCCTCCCCCTCCTCTTCCTCCTCCCAGGCTCCCGGCCCACCCTGCTGCTGCCCCCAGAGCTGTGCTGCTCCCAGGACCGGGGTCCTGGTACCTGTGGGAGTGAGCCAGGCTCCACTCAGGGCCCGGCACCAGTGGGTCCCCAGCTGTCCTGGAAATCTCTTGGAAGTAAGCGGTGTTCCGAGAGCTCTCACCCCTAAGCCTGGCCGCTCTGCCTGCAGAAACTGTCCTCCCGCGTCTTCCTGGACCACAGCCCCCTCCCTGACACCCTGAGGGTCACCTACGACTCCTTCTGCAGTAACGGGGCGTCTCACATGGGCCAGCCCAGAGGAGACTGCGATGGCGTGCAGATCAATGTCCCGGTAAGCTGGGCCTCCACCCCGGCCCTGGAGCCCTGGCCTCCATCCCGACCCAGGACCCCTGGCCTCCACCCCAGCCCGGGAGCCCTGGCCTCCACCCTGGCCTAGTAAGCCCGGCTTCCACGTGGCCTGTGATGCCAGCCGCTGGAAGGCCTGTCCGTGCTCCCTGGACTCGGCCCTACCAACAGGGAGGGGAGCAGGGGTCCCATGGATTAGCAGCAGCGATCCCAGCAGTGCGCCAGTGTGTGCCGGCTCGAGATGGTGCCTGGGGGTGGCTGCAGGGTGTGCAGAGCATGGCGTAGGGCACCCTCGCCTCTGTCCACACAGCTCCGTGGACACCTCCGTCCACAGGAGCCCCATGGAGGGTACGGGGCGCCCGCACCCCCGTCCACACGGCCCCGCGGAGCGAGGCCTGCCTCCCCTTCCCCACTGTGTCCTGCTCTCCCCACAGATCACCTTCCAGGTGAAGGTCACGGCCACCGCCTGCCTGCAGCAGCAGTCGTTTGTCATCCGGGCCCTGGGCTTCACAGACACGGTGACCGTGCGGGTCCTCCCGCAGTGCCAGTGCCAGTGTCGGGACCAGAAGCAGGACCGCGGGCTCTGCGGGGGCAAGGGCTCGCTGGAGTGCGGCGTCTGCAGGTGAGGCGGGCACGCACACCCGCAGGGCAGGGCAGGGCCGGCTGTGGGGCAGGAGGTGCAGCGAGCCCCTCACTTTGCACCATGCCCTCACTGGTCTGGGTGTGCAGGGTCTGAGGACAATTCCTCAGAGCACATGGCTACTGGTCAATGATCCAGAAGATTCCTCCTCCCCGAGGCAGGGCAGCCCATCTCAGCATCCTCTCTGAGCACACCTGGACACACCAGTGGCCTGGCTACTGCCCCCATGTTCCTACGGAGCTGCGTGTGCCACTGCCTCCTGCCAGCTAGTGCTGTGGGAGACGGCACCACGCATCTTGCCACCCCCTGAGGACTGGGGAGGGAGCACGCGCTGTGGAGACGCGCTGAGGGCCGGGAGGGAGCACGGGCTGTGTGTAGACAGCGCTGAGAGCCGAGAGGGAGCACACGCTGTGTGTAGACAGCGCTGAGGACTGGGGAGGGAGCACGGGCTGTGTGTAGA